CTTCTGGAACTCTCTAAGACCTCTACTCGACAGGTCTACAGATCGAATCCCTATGTCCACACAGTCCTACGACAGACAAACAACAACTCACGAAACACAGGGCACGGGTTCAAACACTCAGGGGTCAACTCGATACTGTACATGGGTGAGGTAAGGTCTGGGGATCAAACCCCGGGTTCTGCATCTGCCTCTGCAAAGGTGAAAACCGTTTCACTCCCTGCAACGGTGCACCGGTCGGGTTTTTGCAGCAGCGGTGTTGCGATCCTGTGCTTTCAGTTCCAAAGGTGTGTCTAGACTCTGGAGTGTATTTGTTGGCTGTGGCAGGTCTCTCCTGTTTTCGTTGGGGCTTCCCCGTCTTACGATGGGGTGTGAATATGCAGTCTGTGGTACTCTGTACCCATCTGCAGCTAGGGCTTCCGTGGGTGGGTAATAGTCCGCTTTGGGTTTTATCCGTTTTGTCAGTTTTTACCAGTTTTTGTCAGTTGCCGTCAGTTTTTTGTGAGTTTTTGTGAGTTTTTACTGTTTTTGTGAGTTTTTGTGAGTTTTTGTGAGTTTTTGTGAGTTTTTGTAAGTTTTTGTCAGAGGTACCCTGGGAGGCAGTGATTTATCCCCACTCACTGTAAACAGGGGGCGGTGGGAGAAATAAATGTGTGGTTGAGGCCCACCTGGTGGTACCTGTTGCAGGGCCGGTGAGAGTGGCCGGCAACACAGCCAGAGCATAAGACCGGGCAATCAAGATAGAATCTTACAACCCATATATACAGCCCGATGTGGCGTCAAATTGAGAAAACAGAAGTACCCATCTGCAACTGGGGTTACGGTAGGTGGATTTTTTTTATTTTTATTTTTTATTTTATTTTTTTGGGTGGATTTTATCTTATATGATTATAATCATTATATCCACGTACCGTATTATCTGTTGAGGGAGTATGCAGACTGTCAAAGGTTCAGCCACTTGTGAGTCTCTGAAACTTTCGACGAAAGAGTCTGTGACAGACCGCTGATTTTTAGTACTTTTTTTATCTTTTTTTTTCTCCCTTTCTGCTGCAGTTCACGTGGCAGTTCTCTGAGATAATGGGCATCTCTCTCCAGTAATCAACATTCTTCATACATTTGGACGCCTTTCTGCACCAGATGCATTCGGAGGAGTCCAGCATTTTCAATTTATCGGGACGACCATGAGCTCCAGATACATATGGAGTTCTGTGTAGTGGAATGAGGCCCAATATATTATCTTTAATCTTATCCCTTTTAATGATTGTCTCACTCTGGGTTTGTTATTAAAAAAAGTCCAAAAAAAGTTCTAAATAAGTGGTAATTTACTAATTTGGCTTTTTGGCTTGGAAGTCTTTCTGTATTCTTGACTTCTTATTAGTCTTTTTTTCTTTTTTTTTTGCATCATGAAACACACTCACGTTCCTTCCGTCTGGCCGAAGGAACCCTGCCCAGCATTGATTACTCCTGCATAATGGAGGATTGACTGTCAGCTTGCCTTACTTCCACGTTTTCTCTCAGGTCCATTGCACAAACCTGTGGGATGACTAATAAAGAGCAAGAAAGGTAAGAGAAGCTACGGAAGTTACAGTCCCGGAATTTGCCCTTTAATGTTATGTGACCTGTGATGGATCTTGTCCTTCTACTGGCTGGAATCTGTGTCTTCTCCACCCTGCTTCTGAGTTGTGCCAGTCTTTCCATCGTATGTGAGAGACATTTATCTCTGCCACTTTGCCCCTTGCAAGCCACACCTTAGTGAATTTTGTCTTGGTTCTTCTCTGTTGCTCTTCATCATCTGGCATGGACTGTCTCGTCTTGTGCCATTTACAAAGGATCTCCGCCTGAATCAAAGTCCTTGCCTCCGCCCAAACCTTCTCCCTTGGAGTTGAGAGTCCCTCAATGGTTCTACAGCACCTTTCCTTCCAGATGGACCAAAGCGTTACCTTTCTGATCATTCCAAACCACGTTTTCTCTGTCTTGTCGAATTGAGCTGGGATGTTATTCCATAAGAGGAGTTGGATGGGGTGTTCAGGGAGGAGAGTCGAGAAGAGGGAGTCCCAGAGATCTGAGGCCCTCGCCCAATATTCGATCGCCTTTCTACATCGTATCAGGCAATGTAGCATATCTTCTGGTTCAAAACATAAAAATGATTTAGCTATGAAATCATTAAAAACCTTATCAAATAACCATCGCTTGTTCAAAAAACAATAGCACTTCGTGACTAGTGTACTAGTTTTCAAAACATATATAAATTGATTTGCACAAAAATTAACACGATACGCCAAAAATGCGCCTATAGCACTAAACAAAATGGGTATTAGTTTCATCATTCTTGGAGTGGCAAATTCTGACGAAAACATAATTTCGTTTTTTGGTAGTATGAAAATAGAATTTGCCCAAAAATGAGTACCTGAACACACCGTGCATAAATCTGAACTGTTAGGGTCATTCTTGCTTCTTCTGATGTGTAGCCACTGGTTAACTGGTAGAGCTACGTATGAGATGAGCCATTGGAGGCTTCTGATTTTGACTTGACAAATTGACTTGAATTTTTTCCATTATTTTGGGGTATCTGATTAGCATCCTGACCTATTAACTTCTGCCATCTGTTCTTGATCGTTGGGTCAGGATCCTTTGTTTTGAGGAGTAGGTTGTAACCCAGTTTGACTGTGTATTCTTGAATGGAAACATTAGTTTTGAGGCTTCTATTTCTGTCTGGTGTCCAAACCCACTCTGCTGGATCAAATTCCAAGTCTTGAATCACCGTATCCATTCTGAAGATTGTTTTTGGCCATGACCCCAATACTCTGACTTTTCTGAGTACAAAAGGGTTTAGGACTGTTCTTTCCACCTCTTTATTCAGGATAGATGGAGGGCCTTGCGTGGAGGGGGTAATTGGGAAGGAGGTGAACACTGCCAGGGTATCCGACCCTTGCTGTTTATGGGAGAATTGATAGGCCCTTGTGGGGGTTAACTCCTGCATCCTCACTCCCCATTCACCTGATTTCCAAGTTGAGCCTTCGCTCAACAACTCCTTCCAGCCTTCTGGGATGCAGTTGATAATGGATTGTATATTCTCGTCTCGTCGGTGACATCCTTTGAGCTGGGAGGCAAGTTCCTGTTCTGTCACCCAATCCTTTTTCTCCGCGTTCCATAGATGGCTCACCTTACAAACTCCATGTTTGATCCATGAAAGCCATCTCCTTCCTCTAGGCTTAAGGGATAGTTGGTGATCACTTTCATCCCTCACCCACGGATTACCAAACAGGGGTTGCTTCAGTACCTCTTCCTTGGATTTGGGTCTACCCACTTTCCTTGGCATGACTTCCTGCCATATCCGCAGCAACGCAGTCCAATATGGTGTAGGAGGTCTGGCTTCATTTGGATCGGTTCCTCTTCGTTGATTTTTGTGCCCTGTACTTGGGACTCCATTCCTTGGTGATTACCCAGAGCAGGCCGGACATATTTGCTGGTGTGGCTGTAGGTGCTAAGCCCCTGATGCTATCCAAGGCCAGTTTATTCCATGCCGTACCAGGTTTAGTTAGTAGTTTGACTATCCATTTAACTTGTAAGGCTTTGGTTTCCTGTTTGGGGTCTATGATATCAAGACCTCCCTCGGCTGGTTTCCTTGTGTTGTAATGCCACACTATCTTTGGTATGCAATTCTCTTTGTTGGGGTCACCCGACCACAAGTATGCTCTTGCTTTACAGTTAAGTTCCTTGATTGTATGGTCCAGGACTGTCCAGATTGATGCTATGTACCACATCATTGAAAAAATAGATGTGTTGATGGCTAATGCATGCCCCAACAATGATGTGAATGGATTACCCCATCTACCCAGTTTGTTAATTTGTTTGGCTAGGATATTTTGGGCCATTTGAGGGGCGAAGCCATCCTTTGTCAGCAAGATGCCTAAATATCGCGTAGGTGTCTCCGGTGCCTCCCATGTCATTTCTGCCTCAGGGCCTCGACGCTAGGGAATCTCCTCCTCTGATATCAACCAGCCGATTGTTTTCTTCCAATTAATCTTCATTTCTTATGCCAGTCTAAATGCTTCCATTGCTCTTACTAACGCGCTGAACGACAAGTCTGAAACTCTTATAAGGACCATGAGATCGTTTGCAAACATAATTATTGTCGGGAAATGTAGGTGATGGGTCGTTCCTACATTGACCTCTAGTAGTCTGTGCATAGAGGGGTCTTTGCGTACGAATGAGGCTATTGCTTCCATGACGAAGAGGAAGATTGGGGAAGCCAATGGGTCCCCTTGGCGCATTGACCGAGAGATTGGATAGCAGTCAAAAAGCAAGCCATTGACTTGGACGCACCCTATGGCGTCATTATACAGAATGCGCACCCACTTCCTAAAATTCGGGCCCACTCCCATCTTTTCCATGCTTGCATTGAGAAAGACCCAGTTGACCTGGTCATAAGCCTTTTCAAAATCGAAAAAAAGAATTGTTGTGTTTAGCATTTTTTCTTTGACTTTGTTGGTTACTTCGCTGAGGGTCAATACGTTATCCAGGATGTATCTCCCAGGGATGAAACCTGTTTGATCTATGTGAAAGCATTTGTCTGTCAGGTCTAGGATTCGAAAGGCAAGAGTTTTGGCTAGGATCTTATAAGGAAGTGTTAGAAGCGAGATGGGTCTATAGTTCTTGATATCTTCTCTCTCCCCTTTTTTGTACAACAAAGTGACCACACTGCTACTCGGTAGGTTTCCCGGTCCCCCCTTGAGCCAGCTGTCATTGTAGACGTTTAGCAAATCTCCTCCTAAGAGCAGCCAAAAATTTTCCCATAATTCTTTTATCAATCCGTCGATTCCTGGAGACTTATTGTTGTTCATATTCTGGACCGCAAATTGTAGTTCTTCCATGGTGATGAGCTTGTCCAGGACTTTTTCTTGTTCTTGAGATATCGTTTGTTCCAGGTATTGCAGCATCTTTGTCGTGCCTCTCTGGTGCTGGGCGGATGGGCATAGAGCTCTTCGTAGAATTCCTTTGCTACATTCAATATTCCTTCGCTGTCTGTCACTGTTTCAGTTGGATTTGAGAGGGTTTTCAGGCCTTCTATGGCGTTGGCCCTTGAGTTTGCTTTGATCCTTGTGACGAAGTGTTTTGACATTGACTCACTTAGCTCATATTCGTTTATTATGACTCTTATTTGTAGTCCCTTTAGTTCCCACCATTTCCACATAGTGAGTTCTTCTCTTGCCTTTTAAAAAATGTCGCTATAGAGTGTCGAGGAGGGGTTATCGACCAGATTTGTCTCTGCGATATTCAGGGCCACCTCCAATGCTTGCTTCCTCTGTTTTCTGTCGGCCACTAATTTCCTTGAGATTCTAGCTACCGTCTGTGATAATGTGGAGTAGCTTTCCTGAAACCATTCCCATCGATTATGTATGGGTAGGTAGGTGCCCTTCAAATTCTGTCGACAATCATGAACTCCAATCTGGAAATTTCGGCTCAGTAGGAGGGAATTGTTGAGTTTATGGAAGCTGGACCCTTTTTTAACATATTGTTCGAAGCTGATTATTAGTTCGATGGGTTTGTGGTCCAAACCCGGGTATGGTGTGAGGGCGAGGATCTCGACACTTTTAGCTGTCCCCATTAGTGTCCCTGAGATCAGGAAATAGTCAATGAAGGATAAAGCAGTATAGTGGGCAT